ATGATGTAGTATAAAGAAGATCGAGGCGGGATGGCGGTGGGGGGGGGGGGGGGGGGGGGTGGGGGGGGGGGGGGGGGGGGGGTTCACGTACTGTAGACGGCAATGGCAATGGCCTCGGAGAGATTGAAGCCGTTGGCACCCTCGAAGGCAGGGACCTTGCCAGTGGGGTTGATCTTCAGGTACTCAGCGGTGGCAGCGGCAGAGTTAGGCACGGTGTTGACCAGCTCAAGATCGAGGTCATTGTGCTTAGCAGCGACCAAGATGGCGAGAGTGCGACCGTTTTCCTAATCAATGTCAGAAAGGCATCAAAGAGAAGGAAAGCAAAGCACATACAGGCTGACCGTAGAGCTTTCCGAACGCCATTTTGAATGTGATGTGGGATGAAGAAAGAAAAGAAAGAAAGAAAAAGGGTGAGGGGCATTTAACCATGAAAATTGTGCTAGGCTCCGTCCGGATGAACTAATGTTGCGGAGGTCACCTGACCCGAAAAACAGAACCTCCCGTGGAGTCTATCAAGGTCTCCGTGAAGAAGCTCAATCATTAATCATCAATCATGGCGTGGCATAAACCCAATGGCCTCACCCAGGCCATGCAATCTCTCCGCTTAACTTCCGCCATCTCCAATTCCTCAATCAACGCCTCCCGACCAACCTTCAACGCCCTCCGCACTCGTACCTACGCAACCGAGACCGAGACGGCTCCGGTCCCCGCAGCCCCCGAAATTGACTTCGGATCATTTGCATACAAGCCTGCTCGTATCATCCCTGCATCCAAAGCCTACTTCTCCGGCAGCCCGCGATTCATTGATGCCCTGCTGGAGCTCGAAGCCCTGCAGGCCAGACATGCCGGACTCCCAACCGTGGCACCTGCCGAGGCGCCGCGCATGGCTTGGTTCAAACTTCCCCAGTTCCGTGACTTTGTGGGAGAGCCAGTACCCAACAAGAAATACAAGTCCCTGGTCAAGATCCTGCAACAGTTGAACCGTATCCAGCCCGAGTTCGTCCCTACCGAAGTGCGCGACACTTTAAACAAGTTCTTGCGTCCCGGTAACCCATACTCCAAAGAGATTGTCACTCGCACTGTGGATGAATCAGGACTTGCGCGCGGCAAGGGAAAGAGAAAGGAATCACACGCTGTCGTGCAGCTTGTTGAGGGCGAGGGTGAGGTGATGGTCAATGGAAAGAATATCGTGGATGTCTTCAGCCGTATCCATGATCGCGAGAGCGCACTCTGGGCTCTACGAGCCACACAGCGTATGGATAAGTATAATGTCTGGATTAAAGTCAAGGGTGGTGGTGTTACCGGCCAGGCCGAGGCTATCACATTGGCCGTTGGTCGTGCTTTGCTGATGCATGAGCCCGGCTTGAAGCCTATTCTCAGGAAAGGTATGCTCCCAGATATTCGTGTGACCTCTGTGGTCATTGATTCATGGATACTAACTTCTATCTCTTCACAGCTGGTACCATCACTGTCGATCCTCGTCGCGTCGAGAGGAAGAAGCCCGGTCATGTCAAGGCCCGCAAGATGCCCACCTGGGTCAAGCGTTAAGGGGGATGGACCCTCGACTGCTTTTTGTCCTTTTTTGTTCCAATACTGTATTATTTCACCAGCCATGGTACCCCGGGTTCCTGTTTTATATCCTGTACTCTCGATGCATATGAAGCTATCAATTCCATCAATTCCAAGATTTGTCTACCTCATCAATTTCGCTGCCAAGCCGTACCAAAGTTTGTCATGATCAGCCCTGGAGGTGAATGGTGATACAGCTCCCTGATTGATAGCCAGTCAAGTGCGCATCAGATTGGAAGCCCTTCTAGCTTTAGAAGGTCTCAAGGTTCTAACCAGGTGAACAGTGATTTGGGTTTGGGGGTATATACATCGGCACTCGCCTGTGAGACTGGAAGACATGTACAGATGCATGAATTTCCGAGGTTGGTGCTCAAAATATACATACTTAAGTATGCCCAAAGGATCTACTTAAGTAGTATATAGATGGAGTGATGTACTTTGTGGTACAGCTTTACATAATTAGTACTTAAGTATGTACGAATCCTGGAGAAATTTGGAAGAAATCCCAATTGCAGGATGCGTAATCGCCAAAGTGATTATCAATATATAATCACAAGTACCTATGCCATGCAGTGCAAATGTAGATAATAAAACAATCGAAACCCAGAATAGCGAGGGTTATCAGGCTGCATCCAGGGCTATGCACTTGAGCATATCCCAGTGGAAAGCAAACCTTGGAAGCTCGTCTATCAAAAACAAATCCCGTCTGATCCAAAGATACAGATGACCCCAAACACCAAACAGGAATGTTTCCCCTTTGTGCCCCTTGCGCCCGACGCCTCCCATTTTGTCCTGATTTCCCATGCAAAACCCGAGATTGATAAAAGACACGTGAGAATGAGAAATTTGGAATGACAAAGATATGAAAATGTCGGGAGGGAAGAAAACCCGACAGAGTCGGTGACATGGAGAATCAAAGATATGTACAGGTCGTGGATTCGTGAGGAAATGTGTGGAAAATTGAAATGTTTAAAAAAAAAAGATGTGGAGTGACAAGATAGCCTCGCAAATAATCCATGGATCACGCCCTATTCGTCCTGGGAGGTGTCCAGATACGAAGTTGGGGATGGAAGTAGGGCTTGGAGCCAAGAAAGCCCCGAAGCCCTAAGAACCAACGAAACAATCGCCTTGTAAGAAAGATGACTCGTGATCACGTCGATCATTCTCATCACACGGCACGGTGATGAGATTGCCCAAGAGAGGTGACAGGTTACCTCTTGTGAGGTCAAATCTTAGATTGGTCGTTTGGCGCGACACTAGTAAGCAATAGTCTTCCGTGGCTGAGGATATGTACTCCGCAATATGATCGGCACGGCTGAACCGGGACAATCCGAATCTTTGGGTATTTGGATTTCACGATTGTTTGCTTTTTTTTTTCGGTTTCTTTTCTTTTTTGTTTTCATGCTTCCCTCAACCTGGTTCATGGTCGAGGTACCGCTGCTCTGGGTTCGGGTATGGCTGGGATATGGTGGAGCTCGGGACTACCTTCCATCAGGTCGAGGCATTGACTCAAGACTGGATTTCATTAATAGGTGTAACAGGTCGTAGATTGTACTGATACTGTACTTACCAGATAGAATCTCTTCTTCCCATATACCCATTTGGTAATCCACTAAGCCATGCTGTTCCAATTGATCGCATAGTTGTATGAGGTCCGTCCCCATTGATTCCATGCGGTCACGTCGAATCAAGCTAACTTGTGTCGACTGATGACCTGATGCTATCAAGTCTTGTAACAAGTCCTTTTGCTTTTGGCAGACGGCTAGCCAGCAAAGATTAAAGTTGCTCCAGAGCTCCAGACGATCTGGATAATGGATGCTATCATCACGAAGAAGGCCTATCAAACCACTAACGTTAGCAACACGTTGTATGAACTCGAGGGTAGGGTGTCATATGATGTCTGCATGGCACGTCCCTACAGACTCAGAGATAACATGAGTGGTGAAATAGACAAGAAAAAAAAGGGACCAGTCGGGAGTACGACTTTTGTGCTACTACCGACACCCAGAGTAGACTGTGCCCGGCATGACCCTCTGTGCATCTGGAAAGGCAAAAAAACTGGAAGATGACACAGAAAATAATAATGATAAAAAAAAAAAAAACAACTGAGGATTTTGGGTTGCGAAAAATGAGATGGGGAAATATCGACGAGGAAAAGTGCACAACGATGGAAAAATCCAAAGAAAGAAAAAAAAAGCATCATCTTACCTAGTTCCCGTGCATTAGTCACAAGCCACTCGGAGATTTGGGTCAAAGATGCGCCAGCCTCTGCCAAACGTCCAGCGCGGGTCTGATCGAACGTTTGGCGGAGGAGGTGCTGATATTGACCGATGGCCTCCTCCAAACTCGAGGGATCCGACTGCTGAGGCTCTTGATCCAATCGGTTCATGGACCCTGAGCCGATAGCAGTAAAATCAGGGATATTGGAAGGAAAGGACTGGGTGGTATTGGGGCGCACCATGGGATTGGGCTGATTATAAGGCATTGGCGCATTTAGAAAAGGTGAAAGTCCTGCAACCCCAGACTCGGCAGACTCTTCAGCAAAGTACTGTGGAACGAATTGAGTTGCCAGATCCATAGCTGCCGGACGATTCTGGTATTGTGGAACAACCTCAAAGGGACCTGGGGTTGGACCCTGGAATCCATAGATCATGGAATCATAGTACTCCGGCACCCGTCTTCGTTGAAGAGCCGAGATCTGGCGTCCTCGAACAAAGTCCTGGTAGCTTGGGATGTCGCTGGACTGCAGGGAACCGTGGAAAGAGCTGGCTGTGTATCCGTAGTCGTAGGACATTGGGGCTTGATCCGGGGGTTGCGACATCCCCGTTGGGTCTCCACGTGGCTGTATGGCCGGGTCAGACTCGGTCGCACGACCAGGTGCTCGCCGAGGAGCAGTTCTAGATCGAGACATCGAGCCTTCATGCTTGCGTTGATCGCCATCCATCAGATTGTCCCAGGTTCGTAGATCTAGCTCGGCCCAATGCTTGGGGGAAAGCGGAGGGCTTGCGTAGGATGCCAGCTTGGATGATTCAAAAGATTTCCCAAGGGGATATTGTGCCACAGATGTAGATCCTTTTGGGGGACCCTCCTTTGGAGATGACTGGAGAGAAGCAGGATTGAGAGGTGATCCTTGCGGTTCAAGTAGACATTCGGATCTCCTCTGACGCACGCAGACTTAAGTAACCAAAAGGTAATAATAGCACAATTATTGAAAATGAAAAACAGAATGAAATAAACAGAACAAAACCAGAACAAAAACAGACAGATAGGCACCGAATTTAAGATAGATTTAGGCACGAAATCAGGGAATTCAGGTCGATAAAAAAAATCTCTCAATAACCGAACAAGAGTAACCAAAAAAAAGAGGATGACAAAAGAATCGAGGTGAAAACGATGACGAGCTGAGTATGAGGAAGAAGTAGACCGATCCAGTATAGTGTAGCCCTACCTGAAGACGAATAAGAAATATAAGATCAGAAAGAGTACGAAGAGTACGGAGTACGAAGCACCTGGAAGAAGGGGCCAAGGGGGAACTAGGGCTTTTCATGACCCATAGGTATTCTGAGTATTATAAGTATTATAAGTATTATAAATATTATAAATATTACGGAGTACTCGAACTACTAATACGGGTATCAGAAAGAAAATAATAATTATAGACACTTCTCTAGGGTTTTGTCGATCTGAACAGGATCTACACCTAAACTCCATTCGGTGGTATCGGGAACCCGGCGCTGTGGTTCGTAGCCTAATCTAACACAGATCTAACACGCTTCACCTAAGCTCTACTCAATTGACGAATTCGGATTCTTGTGATCATGTGGGATTACTTTTTCCTTTCTTTTCTTTTTCTTTTTTTCCCAGTGTAACGCTCTCTATGCTGCCTGGGGCTGAGATAAATTCAACATGAGACAAATTCTCCCTTGCGTAGAGAGTCAAAAAAGCAAAAGGGTAGACTTTTCCATCCCAAAAAAAGGGGGGGGGGGGGGAAAGGCTTCATGTTTACATTCCGGGGAGATTAGCCGGGCAGCTGCTGGGACGGGAACCGTGAGGCTGATGCTACCGCCACAGATAATATACCTACTCGTAGTACTCGTATATTCGTACGTGTACAGAGCACGGAGTACGGAGTAAGGTGTAAGGTGTAGTCGGAGTCATCTGATAGATTATTCTATTGAAACAACTAGCGTGATATAATCCTCAAAATACTCCGTACCTAACTTGTTTGCCCGATTGGATCTGCAGATTTTGACGGCCAGCTACATACGTCAGTTTCCTTTTCCTCGGGTTTTTTGATTGCTCAGGTCTCAAAAAAGCAAACCCACAGACTATACAGACGGAGAATTGACTGATAATTCACAACTCCCCACTCCCTATTCATAAGTATCTACTCGTAGACTGGCCTTATATAAACATCGACCCTGACCTGTCAAATCCTCAGAATCCGACACTCTGGGTGGGAGAATCCACCGCGCTAGTCACTAGGGCCCTGCGGATGCGACGTCGAAGATCCGGCGGCTAGTTTTGTTTATGTTTATAGGAAGCACCGGGAAATGATTTGCCTATTAACCTTACGCACCTAATTGCCTGTCTACTTCCGATGTATCACATTCACGGTCCACTCACAAGTCTCCGATTCACCGAAATCATGATAGGATGCAATTTCCTGCGAATGTACGACATGTAAGATATAAATTACAAATTACTTGAATCAGGCCATTCAACATAAGCCAACCCCAAATGTCACTAAAATAACACTAAACTAGCATAAAAATTACACTTAAAGAGCACTAAAATAACAAAATAACGAAATACTGAAATAAAAATGAAAAAGGGATCGGGTGCAACTGGAAAACATCGGAGATCACGATGAAGAGCCCGACACGTTGGATAGACCAGCCGGTGGTACAGAGGACAAAAACACGAGGAAATAGGTAATGCGCAATTATCTGCCATGCTATTCTCTTTCATACAAAGTACAACTCCGTAGTCTTGGCTTCTTGGCTTCTTAGACTAGGTTCTTGTTTCAGACGATATATCTTCAAACATGTCAGACCTAAACAGCTAAGTTTAGGCCCAAAATTAACACCTGACCAAAGCAAGAGTCCCATTAGCCACAAATCTCCCCGAAACACCTGTGGACATCGACTACAACGCTACAATGCCATAGAATTTCCCAGAAGTAACATCACACCTCCTCTATCTTACCCTCTTCTGAAGGGGAGAAATATACGTGAAAAAAAAAAATAAATAACAATGAATCAGACCCTCGAAACAGCCCTGGAGTCCCTCACCTTGTACGACTTCTACTTCTACCTCGGACTGCAGACCCAGCGAATCCAGTGCCTCGGAATTCCGAAATTATCGTCTCACCACGCCCATCCAGTCCAGTTTCCCAGTCCGGGAGCACAGACGGCGCCGAGACGAGGATGGGGCCTCTCGAATGGGAAATGCGTGGAATCTTCTTGCCGAGGTCCGTAGTCCCGCAATCAATGAATACACACAGAGTACAGAATGTCCACAGCCACCCCCACCTGCTCATCCCAGGTCCATGGATCAGCCTGCACAAGGGGGTCTTTGCCCAGATCCCATAAGCACTACTCAAAGATACGGTGCTGTACCTAGTGCTATGCACCACGGGAGAGGTGGGAGCAGAAGTCAAAAGCACACTGCATGAACGGGGACATGACAGGGATTGGTATTGTGGCTGCGCCTGTACCCGAATTGTTGGGAGTCATTCGGTCCACGAGACTGCGGGCCAGGAAGTTGAGGAACTGGTGTTTGCCGAGGTATGTTGGTGGGCAGGGTTTGGTCCAGATGAGAACGGGGTTCGTTGCTTGTGCGGCTGAAACGTCGAGTCTTGGTTTGGCTTGACTGTTTGTAGATTCTGGACCGGTGGGAGACTGGATACTCGATGTAGGAGCCGGGGGTGGTAAGGTAGGCAGTTTGCAAGTATAGTTAGTAGAGGGGTGATACTTTACGATATACTTCCGTCTTTGCGTATACTTTCTGGGGTAGCATTACCATCTGGCTTGGGCCATTTGGGGGTTTGACGCTGGGAGAATCGCCGGCTGAAAGAAAGAATTCACCAAATATAAACAAAATTGTATGAGATTTCCTTTCTCATACATTGACCGAGGAAATAAACTACACAAAGACGTCGCTGATCATTGAGTCATCTCATGTCGAGACCATGAGGTAAAATAGGAAAGTCAAAACACCGGAGGGAGGCCCGAACATGTTACCCTGCCAGGGTAAGGCCAATCATATTTGGTCTGCAGATGGTCAGCACGAATAATCCGTGTCTATGAAGAGACGGAAGAGGGAATAACTTACTCAGCGTCATACTGAGGCTCACATCGGTATTTTCAACCATGTCCTTGAACTCCTCGAAGCTGATCTTTCCATCCTGATCCTTATCGGCCTCCATGATCGTCTTATCAACAATCTGCTGCAGCTGCACATCCTTGAGGTTGTTGCCGACCATCATCTTCAACACAATGAACAGCTCGCCGTTGGAGATATAACCGTCGCGATCAATGTCGTAAACCTTGAATGCAAATCGTAGTTTCTCGTCCTTGTTTCCCTTGGAGCTGAATGCTGACAGGCCTGTCACGAATTCCTGGAAATCGACATCGCCACCACCGTCTTCGTCAAAGATCGCAATCATTCTACACGAAGAGTCAGAGAGGGTCCATTATGTTCCTTTGCTGCGAAATCAAGAGGGATGGGCACGGATGCGCACGCGGATCGGTGACACCGGGAGAGAAACGGACCTTGTGGCGAGCGGGTTGGACGACACTTGGGGGAGGGAAAGGAACTCGTCGCGGTCGATAGTACCGGAGGCATCCTGCAGATTATCAGCATCCGGGTAGAGTCATGGTATCATACGGCGCATTGTCCGACCTTGTCTAGCTTCATGAAGCGCTTGCGTAGACGGTCCACTTCATCTCTGTTGACTGAACAGCGTTGTGTCAGCTTTGATCACCATCGCTTTGTACCAGATGTAACCACGGCGAACATACAGTTGGATGTGGAAACGATGTTATCAAAGAGTTGAGTGGTGCCGACGGAGCCACGACGTCTGCGCGCATCATGAATCGCCGCGGCGTTGGGTTCGTTGACCTGGTCCATGGTGCAAGGTGGCGGATGAGGGTATGGGCGGAATGGGGGAGCAAACTAGTAGCGACGAAGTGCGGGAGTGAATAGAAACAGCAAACACACAAGCTAGAGGGCGACAGACAACAAAAGTAAATCGGAAACAAGGTGACAGTTGAGTTCCAATGTTATGGCCGGGGGAATCTGATATCGCCCAGCCCCGCACTAACCGCATTGGGACAGGCAAGCGAGCCCCTGAGGCCGTGCGTTCGGCCAAAACAGGCCACTGCCGGCTGACATTACAACGTCAACCCAACCGCGAGCCGTGAATCACCCCGACTTCAGTCGTCAATATCTCCCCCCCTTTCATCGATTTTCATCTCAAAAATACGACTACGCGAAAGCGCATGAGCAGCCCTTTCCGCTGATCTACTTTTTACCCCGTCTCCGCCCATGGTCGTTGCTCTATTGCGCGTTCCGACACCATGACTCGGTACGGGGGCCTGGGTAGGACGCGCCCGAAAAAGCTCACCTCCAAGGCGTCCATCCCCGTCGTCCGAGAACATGAGATAGACCCTCTCGACGATGACATCCAGAGCTCTCTACAGCAGATTGACACCGGCGTGGAAAAAGCCGAGGAATCGGTGAGTCCATCTACGCACCTAATTTTAGCACATCCCTATCCCCATCACGTGACACTATCTCCGAGATGATATGAGATTTTCACCACCCAATATACGTCGGCCGCGCTGACCCTAGCCCGCATTAGGAAATTCATCTGCAACGAGCAATCAATGCCACTGCCCAGGGCAAAGTAAACGAGGCCATTCCCACCCCCGAGACCATCCTCAGTAATCTCCAATATGACGAGCTCTACCCTCCCATCTTCTCGCAGCCTGCGACGTACATTCGGTTCTCGTCGACCGTCGAGGACTGCTGCGGATGTCCGTACAACATGACAGAGGAAGACGATGTCTTCCTCAAGATCATGAACCAAAAGCGCAACCCCAATGTCGACCCTTGCACGGAGGATATCTTTGAAGAGGTCATGAACTTCTTTGAGGAGACAGCGCAGCTAAAGCAACCGTATGCGTCGGTGGATAACCCGCCTGTGTTGTCATACGCGGAAATGGAGGACACAATGGATGCCACATTAGAAGATCAAATGAAGCCGTGGGCCAAGGAGATTTATGAACACTGGAAGTCGTGCCGGAGCACTGTGCAGAACAACTCTCTGGTATCACAACTCAAGGTATGTTGTCGCAAATCCAATTGGTCGAATCTCATAGCTGACATAGCTCCCAGTTTGAAACCGGCCAAGACACAGATGACAGTGATCCATTTGTCTGTTTCCGTAGACGCGAGGTCCGACAGATTCGCAAGACCCGTGGTAGAGATGCACAGAGTGCAGAGAAGCTGCGTCGCCTTCGCAAAGAGCTGGAAGATGCTCGCGAACTCGTGGCTTTGGTGCGCCAGCGCGAAGTCGCTCGCAGAGAGATGCTCGCCATGGAGCGCCATCTCTTCAAGCAGCGTGCTGAGGTGAAGGAGATGAAGCGCAAGCTTAACATCAAGGACGATGATGAAGACCTCATCAACCAAAAGGTAAAAGTACCTGCCATGCGTCGCACAGAGCATACGCTAACCCTCATGCAGCCGAAGAAGAGAGTCGTCGATATGCCCACCCAACGCCCCAACGGCCCTCAATTGCGCATGCCTCTCAAGGCTGGCGCAGGTGCAGACGACTTGCAGACGCTGGAGGAGGTCCAGGCCGAGAAGGAGAACGAGATTCTGCGCGATATCAAGCAGAATATCACCAAGCACATCAAGTGGAACGAGGGATACGTGGATCAAACGCGCGCACCTCTGTCTCCTTCTCCAGAGCGAACATTCGATGTAGCCGCTTTCCGACCAGCATTCACCGCACAATTGCCCACTCCTCCATCATCAGACGCATCTGGTGAGATGGATAACTCATTAAGCCTTGCCAGCCCGCTATTCTCTCGAGAAAAGCTCATTTCGCTAGAAGAACATGATGAAGCACACCGGATGCCATCATTCCGCAGACGAGTGGGCCGTGGTGGCCGTTTAATGATCGATCGTCGGAACATGGGAGCTCGTAAAGTCGAAATGAACCCGATCAAGGCGGATAGATTCAAGTTCGACCAAGAGGACTCAGACGATGAGCCCGATTATGATACTGATGCGTACAGCATTCAGATCATGCAGCACCGGGCAATTACCATGGCCAAGGCGCGCGAACAGGCGGCTGTGGCTGCTCAAGCCCATGCGCAGGCGCAGGCTCAGGCAGCCCACCAAGCACAAGCACGACGACTGCAAGAGAACCAAGGCCAAATGGGATCCAATCCTGCAAATGGTGTTCCGGCGTCCGAGTCCTGAACGACTTCACTTCCCTTTTTCTTCTCTTTCACAGCATTTGGCGGGCGTTCTTGTCGTGGTTTTGTTTTCCGCAACCCTTCGTCGTTGTGTTTCCTTTTCTCCCTCTCCTTGTACTTTTATTCCATGTTTTCATGATTTCCGCGGGCGGCGAAGGGTTGCTGGGTTTCATGCCCGATCTCTGTTCTCTTTTTCTCTCTCTCGACCCCGCCCACCTCTCACATCTTTCCGACATTTCGTTTCGACGCGGTTGCCAGCCACATGCTGAGCGCTGCATTGTTAGTGTACATAGTATCTTTTTTTTCTCCCGAGTCTCGGTGGTGTTGGCTGGTGTCGGGCAGCCTTTGTATGATGGATAACCGAAGTTATGATGCAAGCGACGAATGGGAGGGCAAAGGAAAAGGCTCAAAAACATTCAGAAAATCTAACACAATTTAATAATTCGCAGAAAAAGCACTTTTTGTTTCTTCGGTAGAAGGGATCGATAGGGACGATGGCGGGGAATCAAGCTCTCAAACTCGTTGAGTCTTGGACTGTCGCGACTCACCGTCATCGCCAGCAGAACGCTTTAGTGAGCCCGTCGCAGCGGGCTCCAGCATGCCCAGGGTAGTTTGGATAACCTGCTTCTCACCAACGCGAACCTGAAGGGCCATTCTCGCGCGCCGAGATGACACATCCAATGGGTCCAATGGAGGCAGCGAGCTGGCAAGCTGGATATCTTGTGCCAGGGTGGTAGCATATTGAGCCTGTTGCGTTTGCAAAGCCTTGACCAAAATGGCAGCCTGGTTAGCTTCAAGAGCCGGCTTGGGTGCCTTGTTCTTGGACTGGCGCTGCTTGAACTCTTCTTCAGGAAGAGCAAGGGTAGATAGCAGAACGACCAGCTCGGCTGGTAGAATGTCTACCAGAGTGGTGTCTGCTTCGACGGGTCTGGGGATCACATAGCCGTCATCAAGGATATCGAGTTCTGCAAGGAACTCGAGACGGGGCTGAGATTCGACATCGCTGTTTGAAAGACCTGCGGCTTGGCAGATGCTCTCCAGCGATAGCTCGACAACGTCATAGACAGCGTAGTTGTCAGTCACGTAGCCGTATCGGCGGAGGAGATCAGCGCGCGGGATTTCTCCATAGTCGTTGAAGATCTCTTCACCTTGTTGAATGGGCTTGATGGCCTTCATGACAAGAGCGCCTTCTTCTTGGTAGAGACGGGCCTGTAAGGACAAGTCAGCATCGGCGTCGGGATGATCGAGTAGTAGAACATACGTTGTTGCGGTCTGCATCAGCATTAAGGAGGTCGGCGAGAGGGATCATGCCTTTGGGCAATTGTTCATCCTCATCGTCGGTCATGTAACTTTCGTCATTTGCGTCTCCCTCATCATCATCGTCCTCGGACTTTTCGATATCGAAGGCATAGGCCATGATGAGGGACCCCATCACATGGGCCAGCTCAATCAAAGCAGCGGCACCGGCGTCACCATCATAAGATGACAGACCAGGGGCCGGTGGGAAGAGAGCAGGGTTTCCCCTCACGATCGGAGCGATCGATTCCATGATGGACTCTTCAGCGCCTTCTCGGCCGATTTTCTCAACGATGGTGCTTGCCTGCAGCTCCTGCAGTTCGGCAGATGACCAAAACATCAGACTATCGAAACGAGAGGGCAAGACCTTGAAGTATGGGGCCCACCGGGACTTTTCGCCCTGGAGGTACTCGTACAACATGACCAGCATCAAAGACAGCCATGGACCGAGCTGCTCTAGATCTTGACCCAGCAGGGTCTTCAACTCGGAATTTTGGACGGCGAGCACCATAGCACGGGGGATGGAAAATAGTTCTTCACCTTCGGGGATGTTTTCCTGTGCCACTGAAGTCCGCAGAATATGTTAGAACCCGGTGAATACTATTGTGAGACCTCATTTTTTGGACCTCGGGGAGAGACATTTTCGTGAGAAAGTACTTCGAGCACTTACCGACACCTCGTCCTGCTCCGCTGGCCCGGAGATCTGCCAGTCTCAATTTATGATTGAGTTGTACACCCGAGCTGGCTTGGAGCCATGATATGAAGTTGTCAGACTGTGTTTGGAAGCCCTCGGCGTCGGGGAAGTGGGTAGACGAGGACATTGTTGGAGAGGACCCTGGGGGGGGGAGATGGGGGATTGTGGATCTTATAAAATAATCATGAAGATACCACAAGAAGGAAGAAGGAAATATGGAAAGCTGGGAAGCAGAGAATATGAGGCGAAGAAGAAAGCAAGAGGGGGACAGAGACACAAACTAAAGGTCGGGTTTAGTTCGGCCGTCCATTGCCGCTTAATTCCCGATAACGATAACGAAATACTCTTCTTCTTTTTTTGGCATATTATACTCCCATATATAACAACTTATAACCTCAAACTTGCCCATCATGATCGCAATTGGCATGGAAGGCTCTGCCAACAAATTGGGCATCGGCATTATGCTGCATCCCAAAGATGGTAGCCCTCCACAGGTCCTCGCCAATATCCGACACACCTATGTCTCCCCGCCAGGCGAGGGCTTTCTGCCCAAGGATACTGCGCGCCACCACAGATCCTGGGTAGTAAAGCTAGTCAAGCAGGCACTGAAAGAAGCCCGAGTTTCTGTGGCCGATGTAGACTGCATTTGCTTCACCAAGGGACCGGGCATGGGTGCCCCACTACAGAGTGTAGTGGTCGCCGCGCGAATGCTGAGCTTGCTCTGGGGCAAGGAATTAGTCGGTGTCAATCACTGCGTGGGACGTGAGTACCAATGAATTCCACATAAACAATACCCAAGCAAGCCGCTAACCTCGTGCTCTGTCAGACATCGAAATGGGACGTCTCATTACCGGCGCAACCAACCCAGTCGTTCTTTACGTTTCCGGAGGTAACACACAAGTCATCGCATACAGTTCACAAAGGTACCGCATCTTTGGCGAAACCCTCGACATGGCCGTGGGAAATTGTCTGGACCGATTCGCGCGCACTCTGCACATCTCCAACGACCCAGCACCGGGATATAACATTGAACAACTGGCCAAGCAAGGAAAGCAACTGGTCGACCTACCATATGTTGTGAAAGGCATGGACTGCTCATTTTCAGGTATTCTTGCTGCCATTGACGGCCTGGCGAAGGAGTGGGGTCTAGGCGGAGAAGAAAAAGCGAAGGAGGACGATGCAAAGTCCAGTGAGACTGCTGCTGCGAGCGAGTCATTGGAAGCCAAGCCCACCCGCGCCGATCTGTGCTTCTCTTTGCAGGAAACTGTCTTCTCGATGCTTGTTGAAATCACCGAGCGCGCAATGGCGCACGTTGGTTCCAAGCAGGTTCTTATCGTTGGAGGCGTTGGCTCTAATGAAAGACTTCAGGAGATGATGGGGATCATGGCGAGGGATCGTGGTGGTAGTGTTTATGCCACCGATGAGCGATTCTGCATTGATAACGGTATAATGATTGCGCAAGCTGGTATGCTGGCTTATGGGACGGGATTCCGGACTCCCCTGAGCGAGAGCACTTGCACTCAGCGTTTCCGTACAGACGAAGTGTTTGTCAAGTGGCGGGATTAAGTTCAGGATCGAGAAATCCATAAATAAAAAAGAAATATCATGTGTTATGAATTGAGAAGACTAGATTCTATGTTCCTTCGAGCGGTCTGATAAATGTTCCGAGGTTAGGAACATCCATGGATACTGAAGTATTACTTGGAGGTTTGCTGCGTATTAGCTGCAACTTGGGGGCAACCCAGCTGGGAACCTTGGAAGCGTCGGTTCATCACGATGTCTGTTGTTGCATTGCTTAAAATATTTGAAAGGCATGTTAGCCATTTTTCAGATATAACCCAAACATGATGTACTGTTTACAGATATAGTTCAAAAACCAGGGGCTGAAACGATGTTGCATTCCAAACTAGAGAGAATCAGTAAGTTTCCAGATGTTTGATAGTAACCTTGCATAAGTCGAAGAACCTGTGCAGCGGTCTGAATTTAGTGTGTCAGTTCTCCAGTTCTCCAGAGATACCCAGCGTGATTATGGATCAAGAAAAGACCGACTTCCACTAACGTGCCTTGTACTTTGTAACCATGCAGCATCGGCCATAATAGGGGATCTAGTGTCAAGGCCGAATGTCGGTGGATTCTCGGGGGTGACAATATGGGGACACCGGGTAGATCGAAGGTTCCAAGGTGGACGCGGGCCTCATCCAACGGGAATTGTTTGTCGGTACGGAGCAGATCTTCATAACCCTGCACTTTGGATGGCTCACGTGTCCCAGACAAAATTTGGCAAAAATGTATGCAATTAAAAACCAGCTATTTGCTTGGACTTCATTCACCGGTTATATCCCCAGTCGGTTTGTACAAAATGGTCGTAACATACTAGAAGATGGGTTAGATGATGGCCAATGGACTGTAGAGATGAAACATACTTTTCTCTTGTACCTTGTTGTCACACTCGTCGCCAGAACACCATTCTTGATGCTACTGGTGGCAAGGTGATTGAGGACGGTATGGTTAGGGTAGTTCAGGACACTGCTATCGTCTTTCATGGGGGTCGTGCCATTGAGAATGGACTTGCCCAAGAAGAGAGGTAGACTTGGTGGGGTAGCAGTGTCTCCAATGACATTGGCGGCTTGGACGTAGGCCGGGCTGTCCTCTTCCTTGTCTAGATCAGCGAGGAACTGAGGGATTGCACCACCGAAATCGCCGGGTGGCACTTCCTCCTCTGCCTCTTCCTTCTCTGGAGGGTGGTCCTCCGGATCACCTGATTGGTCTTGCTTGGACGAATCCGGCGCTGTCTGTTGAGGGTGAGCTCCTGGCTGAATGGCCGAGTGAGGGTCATATGTATCATCTGCACCGATCTCGATATAGTTGACCAAGTGGTTAGTGAAATCGACGGCAGTGGGAAGATTATCTGCGGCGCGCATTTCTCCGTCGACAATGAACTTCAAATGGTGCGTGCCAGGCCGAAGGTTCAAAGTAGTTGACATTACGGAGGGGTTATTTTCGCTGTCTTACGTGTCAGTCGGAGTTATGAGACTTGGATATACCAGGGTGCCAACCTTTTGTGTAGACGGAACTTCTTCTCCCAGTTGACGAACGTTCCAGTGACATAGACCTTCTGAGCAGGCGTGGTCCATTCAATGACCACAGGGACCGCCTTTCCTGCTCCACTCACAGTGTAAGGCTGGAGCTCATCAAGCAACTCTTCTTCGTCGATACTTGTGTTGCCCAATGTTGCGGTATTCTGATCAATCTGTTGGTCCAGGACCTGGTCTGCGGGAAGCGACTGGATAATCGAGTCCTCGAAACCGGCTAGGGGCGACCCGGGTGTAGTGTTGGCATCACCGATGGGCAACGGCAGTCGCGGCGGACGTTGCAAGTGGGCGGATGCGCTATAATACGAGTTGAGTGGCGGCGCAGATGGCGCCACGGGATCGCGCCCTGGGGCATGGCGTGAGATAGGGACCTGGACCGGGTTGGAGTGATCGCGGGTCGGAATATCCCTGCCCTGGGACGGCTCTTCTTGGCGTGTATCATGACTGATTGGTCTCTCAATGTTCCTGGGTGATGACTCGGGCACATTTCGGGACTGGAGGCGATCTTGGACGGATCCTTGGTATGTTGCCGAATGCCCGGCGGCGGTCTCCTTCGTGGCGGAGGGGTCGGCGGCGGTGGCCTTCGAATTGGTGATGGCGTTGAGAGAGGACCGACGAGCAACCTTTTTGTCGCTTGACGAATTGGGAGAAGCGCGGGCGGGCGGCGCGTCACTGACCGGCCCTTTGGAAGGGTTGTTACCCATCGAAGGCGGGGAAAGGTGGGATTTGGGATGAACTGAGGGGCTTGGATCGGAGGCAAGGTTGCACTAAGTCGCGATTTTAGAGTGCAGGAGGGCACCGACAGTACCGGCAGGAAATCGAACTGGCGGGGCGAATCAATCCACGATGTCGTCCGTTGGAGGTCCGAAGTACGTCCAGTAGGTTGATGACGCCGGAATACCCAATGAGGAAATAGGGCTTAGGGCTTCCAGGTGACCTCGGCGCGCTGGGATATCAAAACATACGCAGTCGACGCAGTCGAGAACAATCGTGATTGTCAAGATTCACAATGAACTGGCTGTCGGTGATCACGGCTCCTTTTACATTCACACTGGGGTTGACGGCGACTCTGCTTTCTTACTTGTTGTCGCCTCTCCTATTCATCGCATCGCCAGTGATCTACCTCGGACATGTCATCCTATACTTGACTCTGCTTCCGCTGCGAATCTTGATCAAATTAGAGGTATGCCAGGAAAGACATGAGCTTGAGCATTACTTCCGTGACTAGCGTACGATGAGCACCCGACATATTACTAACCCCCGATAGGCTTTCATCTATTTCATGACTGTGGCCGTGTTGATCGGAGCTACCGTTGGAATAATCCTACATTTCACCGGGAGTACTATTACACAGGCTCTACAGATTGGAGAAACACCGGAGAAGCAACGTCGTGTGAAACAAGAGTCTATAGACTCAAGTCCAGAGGACCCACCTTTCAACTACCTGGAAACAAAGGATGAAGACACCAAGTATCTTCCATACTCGACAATACTAGAGGAGGAAGAAAGTAGCAGGGAATCAGAATAATGTGGTACACACACTCTTGTTGAATACATCTCATTTTTACAGCCAGCATTTGAAGCCGCCAATGGCAAATGAACACAACCACCTTTCATGTTACAAGGATCATATTAGGAGATTGATGCATCGACAGCCTCGCGGATAGTATGACACCCTTTGGATAATGCGACACCTTGAACAATTCCTTTTTTCATCGCATTTTCTATTCCGTTTTCTATTCCACTTTCTATAACTAGCATTCTCATGGTCTAGAAAGCCAACTGGCGCATCTATTAAAGAAACCGACTCTTTAGCTATACTATTAAGCTTTGTGCTTCCTTGCTTTACTGGCAGAAAGATTGACGCCTACTATAAGGGCATCAACATTGGAAACAGGCCAAAATCATGCACCAAGGGTGTCATATTATCCGCGAGGGTGTCGATGTATCAATCCCCTCATCTTACCTACCGAAGGCGCATACAGTCCGCCATAGCAGACAGGACGACAGAAGGAGCAGTGAACAACTTAAGATCACTACATCGTAAGCGAGCAGTAGAATCAGCCTCTATTCTGTAAACATAGCAGAACCGCACGAACGAAGATAGATGATATTCACTAGACTACTCTGCGCGACCATATCTATCCTTCTTGGGAACTGAATCAGTATATGCTCCTGACTAAGCTCATAGAGATGTAGGCGGTTCTCCCACTATACTACCTAGGTCATTCTATGCACTTGAGTTCCTCTGCCGAGTGGGAAATTCTATCACTAGGGTTTGCAGCTGCTGCCGCTTTTATGAGTGCACTCCGAGTCAGGCTCCTGGGAGAAATTTAGTGCAGGGTCAGACTCGGTGAGTGTTCACTACATGTTGCTGCCAAAGTGTTGAGTGGGGAAGTTCGTCCCAACCCTCGTTTGCTGTTTGTGTAGATAGACCCTCGCTCCCGAGGCTTCTTTTTCTCCCCTTCTCTCTCTCCCGCAGTCAATCGATCAGTTCCAGTCTGTGATGGCTTGCTACCATCAGCAGGTTTGCTTTCCATACGTTTGCGCGTTTGCAAGTTTGCATACTTTGCATACTCTCTCTGTACTATAAGAGCAGCTCTCTCCAGAGATTCCATAGTCTTCTTCATCTTAGTTGTCTTCGTCGAATAGGACCTTCTTCTGAAGCTTGCCGCCATCACACAGTCCGCTTCTTCTTTTGCCTTGTAGCCTCAGCAGGGTATGAGATCCTCTTTATCAAGAATACGTTATTCAACACGCTTTGTCTGACAAGATACTGCATTTTTACCTAGGGAAGGGGGTGGTTGACTCAGATCACCGCCCCGCCTCACCCCACCCTTACTTTACCTCACTTATCTTTTACTTCATCATCAGAAATGTCATCCGGCGAGGTCCCGCTGCCTTCTTCTCCCCCTGCCCCTCCCCCTCCCCCTCTAGACCGCACTGGTCAGCCTGCTCCTGAGGTGTGGGAGAGAATCATACGGGAACGACGCAGAGTGGATGCCCAGAAGGACCAGTCTGTTGGACTGCCTGATCCTGGCACCTTCACCCTCTACAAGATCAGGACTGTGCTTACCGATGAAAGAGATTTTGAAGAGTGGCACCGAGCTATCATGGGCGTACTACGCTCTCTTAAGCTCCAAACCGTTGA